ACTAAAGCTCCTATGTATTCCAGGAATTTGTGCTAATCAATTTGCGTTCATTATCTCATTTGTTTTTCTCAATAAGCCTGTAAAGGAAGTCCTGTGGAGCCCATTTTTCAGATACAGCTTACTGAGTTCCAAGGGATTCGCACGCATGATCTCATTAATCCTCACATCTCGTGACATAGTTATTTCAGCCCCATTTTATAGATGGGTACACTGAGGTTGAGGCAGTGACAAAGCAGAGCCTGGGTCTTAAAGACACATAAAGGGCGGGGTAGGACCTGGAGGCCTGGGTCTCTGGACCTGAGGAACAGGTGTTTTCTCTCCACATGACCCTTCTCTGTTTCCATCACACCAGTCTGATAAAAATCCTCAGGAAATGGTCATTGGACCTTCTCCAGGGGTGAAGGCAATTTCATTAAACACTGAAGATTCGTTCAGGATAGGAATTGAGAGACCCATTCACCGAACCCCCTCGTTTTACGGAAGAGGAAAGAGCAAAGAGCAAAGACTGCATTTTTTCCAAGTTCTCCTGTGCCGGCATGGTCTGACTCCCCACATTACCCTAGGCGGTGAGAACTATCACCCCGTTTTCCAGGGGAGGCGGACCAGAGGCTAAGCAAGTTTCAGCAACTTACCCAAAGTCACTCTACCAGTAAGGGGCAGAGCTGACACTAGGGCCCCTTGAAAACTTTCGTGCACAAGGATTTGGGGTAGAGATCTGCTCTAGGATTTGCAAGAATTTCAGCCCTAAGCAGGAATGGCTGTCCAATTTCGACTGCACTTCTAATTGCAAACTGGGGGGGAAGACTGGCTTACACACTAATCCTGTTATCGACACTGGAGATTAAACAGTCAAATGAGAGGTATTATTCTGGGGAATGGTTCAGGTTTTAATAGCTACCAGGGTTCCTCACCATGCTTCCTTTTTTGTTTTTTTAACACACACACACACACACACACACACACTCACACAATTTATTTTCTTGGTTTTTGTCTGACCTCTTGTGGCTTACTTTAGGCATTGCAGTTTCTGGTAACTAATTTTTGCAAAAGGTCCCTTTGTCGTGTTCCTAAGATCATTTCCTAAGATCAACAAATAGTTTGTTGGGGCGCCTGGGTGGCTCAGTCGTTAAGCGTCTGCCTTCGGCTCAGGTCATGATCCCAGGGTCCTGGGATGGAGCACCGCGTCAGGATCCCTGTTCAGTGGGGAGTCTGCTTCTCCCTCTGCCCCTCCCCCTGCTCGTGTTCTCACGCTCTCTCTCTCACTCTAATAAATAAATAAAATCTTTAAGAAAAAAAAAAAAGCAAGGTGGGATTGATGATGGTAACAGTATGCTTAATGATAACAATTGATATATTTTAAATATTATAGAGAAAAACAAAAATACAGGTCTTAATAAGGTGTGGGTAACCACCAAAAATGTCTTTTATAAAAAAAAAAATAGAGCCTTCAAATTAGCATAGGTAAACTTGATCTATTTGCTGGAAAGCAGAAAAAGGGGGGGAGGGAAGGAAACAAAATGTATGGTAAATGGAAAGACTGGAGTAAGATTTTTATCTTAGCTCACACTACTGTAACAAAACACCATAGATCAGGTGGCTTAAACAACAAACATTTTATGAGACTTTATTTCTCACGGCTGCAGAGCATGGGAAGTCCAAGATCAGGTGCCAGCCGGTTGGGTGTCTGGTGAGGGCCACGTCCAGCGTCCAGTGGCGCAAACAGCCACCTTCCCACTGTGCCCCCACAAAGGCTTTCTTGGTGCTTACATGTGGAGAGAGCCCTCTCTTAAGGGTCTTAATCGCATCATGAGAGCACCACCTCTAAACACCATTGCACTGGGGGTCAGAGCTTCAACATATGGTGGGGGGTGAGGGACACAAACATTCAGCTCGTAACAACAGCGGACATAAATTCCAATAGAACAAATTATAATACATGTAAACGTGTTGAACTCAGCAAACAGAAGGAGAGAATCTTAACTTAGATCCAGCAATATTTTGTCTATGGAAGACAGTTAACACAAAAGATATGAGAAAACTTGAAAACAAAGGGATGGGAAATTATATACTAGGAAAGTATGAATGAAAAGAAAGCCAGGATAGCAATTTAACTATGAAAAAAATATAATTAAAGGCAAAAAAGAGAGAAGCACTTCATATAAAAGAGATTAAGATGATTATAATTATAAAAAGATAAACACCTAAAAGTATAACATTAAAATCATTAAAACAGGGACGGCAGAACGATAGGGAAATATCTGTACACCAACTATTGTAATTAGAAAGTGAAACTCTATTATATATTGAGTTAAAATGAGAGACTTTTTTCTCTTTGATAGGTCAAATAGATGAAAAATCTATAAAAATATTTGTTTTGCATGAGTTGTAATCTTAAATACATGGGGTGGGTCTTGAGAATGAACTTTAAAATGAATAGAACAATTCTCAAATGAAATATTCACAGAGTGTTCACCAGGGAAGCCTCAGAAGTCAAGTCAAACCATGTTATCTAACTATAACGCTCTACAGTTTGGAATTGACACAAAAATAAAAGCTGAAATATATGTTTAAAAACACATATGAACTACTGAATTGTTCTTGGATTGAAGAGGACATTTTTATACAAATTAAAAATACTTAGACCTGGGGGTGCCTGGGTGGCTCAGTCGTTAAGCGACTGCCTTCGGCTCAGGTAATGATCCCGGAGTCCTGGGATCGAGTCCCACATCGGGCTCCCTGCTCAGCGGGGAGCCTGCTTCTCCCTCTGACCCTCTCCCCTCTCATGCTGTTTCTCTCTCTCTCAAATAAATAAATAAATAAATAAATAAATAAAATCTTAAAAAAAAAAATACTTAGACCTGAACAGCAATAAAAATTTGCGGGATACCATTAAAATAGTACCATGAGCTAAAGTCATGGCTTTTATATATACATATGCTTATTAGAAAATGTGAAAATAAGCCAGATAAACTCAAAAAAACCAAGTATAAAAAATCACTGAAATCAAGAATAGCGATCTAAAAACAAGATTAACAAAACTAAAAGCTGGCTCTGACAGGACTAGTAAGATGGGTAAAATTGATTAATAAAAAAGGAAGGCAGAAGAGTGAAGAAGGAGGTATGACTACAGTCACAACAGATTTTTAAAAATAATATTATGAACTATATGCCAATAATTGCAGAAGTTTATATATAATTGATAAATTCCTGGGAGAACAAAGAATGCCAACACTGGCAAAAATAATTGAGTAAACCACTAAGCATTGAAGATACTTAAATAGTAGTGAAAGATTCTCTCCCCTCTTCACCAGAGCTTCAAACTCACTTTTGTATAAGAGTACTAATAGGGCGCCTGGGTGGCTCAGTTGGTTAAGTGACTGCCTTCGGCTCAGGTCATGATCCCAGAGTCCTGGGATCCAGCCCCACATCGGGCTCCCTGCTCAGCGGGAAGCCTGCTTCTCTCTCTGCCTTTGCCTGCCACTCTCCCTGCTTGTGCTCTTTCTCTCTGTCAAATAAAGAAATAAAAATCTTAAAAAAAAAAGTACTAATAAATTTTCAAGCATCTGATCATCCTTACCTCACAGAGTTGTAGCAGAAAAGAGAAAAAGGAAAGCCTGCTTCATTTACTTTATATGATTAGTATACCCATGATTCAGTAAATTATAGTTCTGTTTGGCTTTTGAGTTTTAATGCAAAAGTCTTAAATGAAGTGTTAACTTACTAAATCCATCAGTTTATTGAAAATAATACAGCATGATCAAGTGAAGCAATGGAAGGGTGGTATAATATCAGCAATTTTATTAATCTAATTCACCTCTATAATGGAATGAAGATAAAAGGAATGTGACTATTTCAGTAGATGCAGAAACAAATCACTTAATAAATTTCAAGGCATTTTAAGTTTATTTTTAAGTTTATTTACATAATCTCTACACCCAATGTGGGGCTCAAAGTCATGACCCCAAGATCATGAGTCACAGGCTCTTCTGACTGAGCCAGCCAGATGCCCCAAAACATTTCTGATAAAAACTAAAATAGTCATCTTAAAGGCTACAACAAACATGGTGCTGCAATGGAGAAGGTTTCTATACATTCCATGCAATATTGGGACCCACACAAGAATACTCACTTTTATGACTACTGTTTAATGTATACTAGAGGTCCTAGCAATCAAGTAAACATGGTAAATAGATGCATAAGTGTTGAAAAAGAACAAAGTGGTATTATTTACAGCTGACAAAATCATTTACATAGAATTTACAGTTCCATTTACAATAGGATCAACAGGTAAACCAGTAGATCTAATGAGAAAGGAAGCATTCTGCCACTGCCAGAGATGCTAGAAATGTAATAAAACATAAAACAGAATTTATAACAACTAAAAATAGGAATTAATCTAAGAGAATATACCAGACTTCCATGGTAAAAATTTGTGACTCCATTAAAGAACAAAAAAGATGACCTGAATAAACTGATGTAGCATTTTTTTTAAAGATTTTATTTATTTATTTATTTATTTATTTATTTATTTATTTATTTGACAGAGAGAGAGAGAGGCAGCGAGAGAGGGAACACAAGCAGGGGGAGTGGGAGAGGGAGAAGCAGGCCTCCCGCGGAGCAGGGAGCCCAATGCGATGCAAGGCTCCACCCCAGGACCCTGGGATCATGACCTGAGCCGAAGGCAGACGCTTAACGACTGAGCCACCCAGGTGCCCCCTGATGTAGCATTTTTATGCACGGGAGAACATCACAAGAATGTCTGTTTTCCCTAATCGCAAATTCATTCAAAATCCCATCAAAACGTTTGGAGCAACGTAATGTATTTATACTAAAATGTATATGGAGGAACCAATGTCCACAAATAACTCAGTTGGTTTGAAAAATAAGAGAGGTTACCTGTCCTCCAAGACAGTAAGATGCTGCAAAGCCAGAGGATTAGAACCGTTGTGATATAAAGGAGGAACTGTAAACTAGAGGGGGAGATGATTTATGAAGCAGGGTGAAGTGGGAAAACGACTTTAATATATATGGAGAAATACAAAGTTGGAAATACTTCTTACCATATACAAAGGTTAACCCTGGATTCATCCTTCATTCAAGAAATATTTATTGAACACCAACTATGTGTGAAGGGCTTTTCTAGATACTGGGAATGTGTCTGTGAAAAATGCAAAAGTCCTTGCCGTCACTGGAACCTTAACTGCAGGGAGTAAATGTATAAAACCCAGGAAAACAAAATGTAGGAGACTTTTTTTCATGATCTTGGAGTGGGGAAGGGCTTATTAAACAAGAGTCAAAAAGCACTTGATGGGTTTGACTACGTCATCATTAAACATGAACATACTTTATGACCCTATGGCTCAGAGAAATTCTCTTACATTTCCATAGGGAGACTCATTCAAATTTGCTCTTCATAGTGTTGTTTCTGGAACCAACCTAGATGACTATCTCTTTAGGAAAGGATAAGCAAACTGTGGTGGAAGGACACTACTAAATACTGTGCATCATTAAGATACTGAATTACATTACAAGAAACTGGGTATTGAGTGAAAAAAGTAATAACATAATTGGAAGAATAGAATATTGTGTATGTAAATATAAAAGATATATATTCACAACCAATGCTATACATTCTACAAGGGTGCATACATGTCAAGGGCATATATCAAATACTATTGAGCTGCTTCCTATGGGGGAGGGTGTGAACATTGGAATGAGAATTAGTGACAAGGGGAATAAAGATGAAATAAAACCAAAGAAAGGTCTTGCATGGATTGATGGTGATAATGAGTTAAGAACTGAGGAATGTGATTAACTTCTCAACTCTCCATACTTAAGTCCAAAAGAAAGAGAGGGGGAGAGATTCCCACTGGAATTGTGAAAAGATGGCGAACCAACCAGAAGGATTTAGCTCCCTCAGCTCCCTGAATATGGTGGCTGCATTTCACTTCTTACCTACTTGGTAGTAGCTATGGATTTCTGTGACCCAAGAACTCAAAATGGCTCACACTTTGGGACTCCAACCACAACGTCTGTTCATGTTGTCTGGAAATCTAGAGTTCTTCTCTTTAATAACTTTGGAAGATAAGTCCAGTAGGGTAAAATGAATCACTATGGTTTGAAGATAGGTAAAAGAATGGGCATGGAATTTGGTACATTCCACACTAATCAGGTCTTAATTAAAATTTTTAACTAGCAGAAAAATGCAAAGGACTTTGAACAAATTCAACAAATCCTTCAGCAATGTGTTTCCAGTCAAAATCCTGTGAATGGGCACAGCTCTATGCAGCACACTTTTCCACACTGGGGGATATGAGGGAGACCCAACCATGCTTTGGTGGCACTTAATATCTAGATGGGAAAAGGAACCACACAAAGGAGAATATCTTTAAGATGCCCACAGATATCACTGCAGTACAGAACTACATCCATGCTGCTAAAGTGGTTGGTGCATACGTGAAATTGGGCAAAACCAGTGAGAAAGTGTTTCCGTGGATGTGTCTGGCAGGAAAATCAAGATTAATAAGAAGGAGAAGAGCTAGAATGCGGGGGAGAAGGACAGGTGGGAGGTCAGGGCCCCTGCCATGACCAAGACTGGGACAGGCAGGTGCAGAGACCATGTTGGCTGTTTGGGAGGCTAGGACTCAGATCTCTTGCCACCCTCGTGTACATCTCCATGACCCCAGGACTCCTCCATTCGGGCTCAGCAGAGAGGCAGGAACATGTGTTTGTTTTCTAGATGAAGAAGTGGAGACCCCCAGACAGGGCAAGAGGTTTCTTCAAAGTCTCATAGCCACAGGACTGGAACTCAGGCTCCTAACTCATGGCCAAGTGCGCACTCTTCTGTATGAAGCTGTGCCTCAGATCGCTGGTCTGCAGGAGGGCATCAACCATGGAGAATAGGTTCAGCCTGTCCTATTCCAGGCAAGAAGAGTGAGAGGGGGGAAAGGAGTTTCAAAGCTGCTCATGGTGTATGCACGGGAGGCAGGGATGTGGGGAATAATTTCTCTGAGGTTGGTGGACAGAATGTCTTCAGTCACCCAGACCAGGAGAGTCTGAATTGTCCCCTAGAGCTCAGTCTTCCAGAACCACACCTGCAGGAGAAGCAGGGTTGCCAGTGAGAGCTGTCACCCCATCTCTTCTCTAATTGCTTTGTTCAGTCTCCTTGTCTTCAAGGCAAGACCTCCACATAGTCACTGTTACTGTTCTCTGGGGGGAAAAAAGCAGAAGACCATCCATGAGGCAACTCCGGGGGTTGCACGGACCAACCTCACTCAAGGGAAAGAAGACCTCTTCCCCAGGCACAGGAGGACCTCGATGCTACATCAGAGTGACATCTTCAAGGGCGGGTGTATCACAGGGAGCTCCCCGGGCAAAATAGGGGGTCTCTTTATAAGTTTAGGCATCCAAGTTTCCTGCTCCAGCAGAAAACCTGTGTCTCCCTCAGAGTGAGAGCATCTGAGGCTTATTCTAAGGAGGCCAAGGGAAGGGGAGGAAGCCAGTGAGCTGAGGAGAAGATGTCTCCCCTTTGGTAGCTGAAGACTTGGGGTTACCTACCAGGGCTAATCAAGCGTGGGCAGCCGGGGTGGTAAGACTCCCGCCCAGTTCTTGGGAAAGATCTTGAAAGAACTCTCGCCTTGGCATTTGTGATTATTTTATCATTGCTGGACAGATAACGGCCACAGCCCCCACCACCCTCAGCAGCTCATCTGGGTTTTCCTAAGGACTGCAGCGCACAACGTTCCTGGGTTTCTAGCTCTGCCCCTTTTTGTGCTTTTGTTCCTGTAAGTTTCGGTGGAACGTGGCCGTGGGATTACACCTGTAGCTAAATCTATAGGAAGTGACTTTGCGTGTACATGGGTGCACAGACCTTGGCAGGGGGCAGGGGGCAGAGGAGGGGTTGTTATTCTCATCATTAAAAACCCATGCTTAGTTTTGCTGGGAGGTGAGAATCTTGCCCTGGTGGCCCGGAGGGTGACTTAAGTAGACAGTAGAATGTGGGGTGATTGCAGGCTCCCTGGAGCTCTGCCCTCTGCCCTTCTCCCTAGCTAGCATGTCTCCCCCCAGTGCCCTCCACCCGGCCACTGATAACTGAAATCCCTCTGCTTGGGAATGTGACCCTACGTGCCACCATGGGAAAACAGGAGTAAGCCGTAAATGTCTCAGGAAATCCGTGTTCAATTCAAACCATATTGTAACTGACAAATACTAGAGGGATGATTTTCTGAGGGCAGGTTTCACGGGGAGCAAGTAAGCAATTGTGGCTGCTAGTGATACAATTTGAGAGGGCCTCAGTGTGGATTCTCTGCACTCAAATTTACTGGCCATCTCTCATTTTCCACCATGGCTTAATTCCATTCGGGATATATCTGGAATAATTTGTCCCCTAACACTAAATAAATGAATGCTCAGCAAATATTGAGCAAAATGTACCAGTATGGGCCTTGGGGAGGGCATCAAAGCAATTTTCTCATTTGAAAATTTTGCCTGCTTGTCCATCTATTCCCAAACCTGTGGTTCGCACAAGGTCACAGGATGGGTGTGAGGTCAGCTCTTCCAGAATGCACCGGGGACCACTCTTGCTCTCCTGACTAGCCAGGCAGAGCACTCCGTGTGTTGGCCACCTTCCGGGGCTCAAAGACACTGCTTCCCAACAAGACCGATGTTGCTTTTTTGTGGGCAAAGTCTTTTAGAGATAACACGACAGAACAGGGTGTGTATCTGTATAAATTCTACAAAGTCGGCCAGTGGAAGAAATGGGACTAAAGTTCCTTTCTGACCCCCACGTAAGAGTTTTTACCGTAAATACCATCCAGCTTTATCTGTGATCGTCTCCATCTCGGGCAGAAGCTGGCTTGCTTTATCGGATGTCCAAGGTGGACCACCAGCCCTTGATTTGGTTTCTCAAATGTGGAGATCAATTCCTTTAGGTTTGAGAAGATCTGTTTGGGAGCACCTTCTACGGTCTGCCAAAATACAAGATACTCATCACCATCCACTGTATGTGCAATGTGACACCTCAAAGCAGTGGTTTGAGCCCTCAGAGCAAGGCTGCCTCTCCCTCTGCCTGTCACTTCCCCTGTATTAAGGAATTATCACAATTTCCCAAAGCATGCACAACAAAGGAAAGAGTTCATATAAGTTGCTTTTTAGAAAATATTTTATGTTGAAATAATTTCAGACTTGAAGAAAAGTTGAAAAAATACTTTTAAAATTTTTATATATATCCTTCACCCACAACCCAAATGTTTTTTTAATTCTTTTTTTAAAATTTTATTTATTTATTTGACACACACACACACACACAGAGCACAAGCAGGGGAAGCGGCAGGCAGAGGGAGAGGGAGAAGCAGGCTCCCCGCTGAGCAGGGAGTCCAACATGGGGCTCGATCCCAGGACCCTGAGATCATGACCTGAGCCAAAGGCAGACGCTTAACCAACTGAGCCACCCAGGCACCCGTCACACCCCAAATGTTAACATTTATATTGTACATATTTGCTTTTCATTTTCTTTTTCTAAATGTACATGTATATACGTGTACGATTATAGGGATACATAATACATATTCTTTTTAAAAAAATATTTTGAGGTTAAGTGTGGACATGATAGCTCTTTAACCCTAAATACATCAATATTTCCCAAAAAGCAAGAACATTACATATCCACACTGCAGTGATTAAAATGAGGAAATTAGTCTTGATGTAGTACTACTTACTAATCTATAGAGCTTATTCAAATTTTGTCAGTTTGTCCTTTGTAAGAAAAGAAAAATTATACACACACACACAGGTAGATATACTTAAACATGTACGTGTGTGTGATGTGTGTGTGTGTGTGTATGTGTTTGGGGATCACGGTATATTCTAATTTCTTTTAGATATTCACAATGAACATTAGCATATTGAAGATTCTGAGAAATCTGGCAGTGAAAAATCTGCTTAACCTTTTCTGCAAGTGTTTCAAAAAGATTATTTCAGGATTCTTTGCTAGTAAAGATTCAGTTAATATTATACTCTACTTCTTAAGCCAGAGAAATTATTTCAAAACAAAAAGGTTTTCTGCTTAATGCTCAGTAAACCAGAAAAATTAAAGAAACCCCTAAGACTGCCCATTGACTGATGCTTCCCTTTATATTTTCATACAATCGTGGAGCTCACTTGTCTTCCTACGTGTTCGGACTGCTCCCCACCTTCCCATTCCGTCCCGCCCTGGTCACTGTGTGTCTTCTAATTGGATGGCGACCTCGCCTGGAGTCCAGCCTGGTGCATTTGACCACTGGGGGAACCAGGGTCTACACGTCTGAATAACAGCCTTGAATATTCAAAAACTCTCCCTATTTCCCTCAGAGAAAGATAAGGTTTACTATGGATCTGACTCTAACTCTGCATGTTGCTTCCCTTTTTAAAATGGCTCTCCATTGCCACATCTCAGGTTCAAGAGATGATCTCAGGTTCTTCTCCCCCAGTCTTTCGTTACAGGAGTTCTCATACGTTCTTACCTGTATATTGTAAAACCCATGTCTCTCTTTGAAGATTCGGTACGTGTATACGAAATTTTTAAACCTGTGGAAAGATGACTGTGTGAATCGTAATGTTCTCATATGTAAAACCAGGTCTCTTCTACCTACCGCTCTATTTTCTGCACAATGCCTTTGGCAATCTTGGGTCCCCAAAAGAAACTGATCATTTTCAGGCATTCTCATCTGTGGGAATTTGAAAGAGACAAAGGCTTGGAAACGGGAACACTTATTCTGATGGTGGAAGTCTGGGCTTGTAGCAAAGAGGATAAGGAGAGAGAATTTACTATTTCCATGGTCTTGGTACTTCTCTCTAGTTTTTTCACTTAGCTCTAAGTTGATACAACATAAAAAAACACCATTGAGCCTTTCCTGTATTGTTTACTAAATGATGTGTCATTGAACTTTATTAGAGATAGTTAGTGTTAATGAAAAAAAGAGAACGTTGGGAATTTCGCCCAAGGAAATGATGTATTGCGCTCTTGTTCTTCATCGGAACTGGCTCCGCTGGCTAAGTAATCTAACCAGAATCTAGATAATAGGCCCAATCTAGCAATTTCCAAAGCAAGACATAACATAAATACATTACTGTATTTCTCCAATTCCAAGATGCCATTAATTGTAAGGGATCAATTTAACAATAGCTTCCCAGGAGGAAAATGCATACATTAAATGTCTCTATCAACTGTTTAACATGTTCTGATTACCCAGAAATATTAAAGTGTAAAAAAAAGAGAGAATGAAAGACATTGACATGAGGCTCAGATTACCTAATGATCCCTCCCACCCCATGCCCGCCCCCCGCCCC